TAAACAGATACTAGTGTAGTATTTTTCATTAGTGTTTATGTAATTTTTCTTTAATGGTATTCTGACAGTTGGAAGTGACTGGATCCTACTTCACCAGTTCTTAATTTGTCAACATACTTTTCATCAGTTGGCCATACTGTGAGCACCTTTGGGGTGAGAAATAAGATCTGAGGGGTTTTTTTAATTGATGATGAAATATTTTTGTCGACTTCCTTTGTATTGATATTTTCCTTCTCCAACATTTGAATAATTTTTACAATTTCAGTCAGCCTTGACGCTTCTTTCATTTGAAATGCATTGGCTAGATAGAGAAGAGACTTTCATACTCTGTCCTATAGTAGTTTTCAGTCATCTGCTTTGTGTAGCTTACAGAAAGCTAGTAAACTGCTGCCTCAGTCTTGTTCAGTCAGAGATTGAGGAATTAAGAAGAAAGCTTTGGGATGGGATATGAAGATGTAAATAGCAATGGCCATTTAGGCCCAAGATGCAGGAGGTGCAAGACCACAACTTGAAGTTACTGTGGTATGGTGAGGTGTGTGGAAAATGAGATACAATTTTACAGTGATTTTACAGTGAGCTGAACTGCAATAGTTCCTGTGAAGGAACAACCTTTCTAATATTTAAGTTTGATTTTGTAGATTCAAGTCAGTTGCATCCTTTACCTGCTTTTCTGCTTCCCCCTAAATCCCTCCCCAAGAAAATTCCTGTAGCTACACTACTTTTTTTTTTCCCCCGCAGCTAAATTTTAAGGACTTGTAGCAATATTTTTTTTAACTACCTAATACATTGACCCTAGTAGCAAGATAAATATTGAGTAGTCCATTATTGTGTGTAGGTACTCTGGATTAATGAGTGTATATGCACAGGCAAGATAATGAAAGCAAATCTGTCTACAGAATTAGGCTATATTTAAGGATACTGTAATTTCTGCCAAACAAGGAACACAGTGAAATTTCATCTGCCATTTATTTTGTCCTTAATGTTCTTTAATTTAGCAGACAAGATAGTTTGGTGATAATTAAGCTTTCCTAATATTGTTGTTCCCCAATGTTGTGGTGTAAATCACTTTACTTTGTATTTCATCTGTAGTACATCTTCAGTCTCCATTTTTCCTTTATAATTCTTCCATAGACAATCTCTGGCATGCAGGAAAACTTAATGCTGCCAATTGCTTCTTGTGTATGTATATAATTTTGAATATATGCAGTTGAATTCCTTTTTCCCCAAGTCTTAGTCAGGTTTTCTGATTTCCCTGATGCTGTTTCTTCCTTCAGTGTGCGTGCCCTTCCTGCTGCGGTAGCAAATGTTTCTTTCCCAAAATAATTTTCATGACAATTTCTATTACTCCTCACTGCTTTTTCAATAGGTAGACCTGGTAACTAGGCTGAATGGATCAACGGTTGCTACTGAAGGACAAGGGGCAATGTGCATGCTGAAAGAAAAGAAATTAGATTTAAACTAAGAAAAAGCTGGTATTTTTGTTGTTGGGACTGAGCACTGGTTGAACACTGAACAGTTCTCCCAGGAGAGGGGATGGAGTCTCTGTCCTTGGAGATATTTAAATCCTGGCCCAAAGCAACATGCTTGAGCTGACCCTGCCCTGAGCAGGGGGCTTGGATTGGATGACATTCAGGGTCCCATCCCACCCCATACATTTTCTGAATCTACGAAGTGAACTGGTTTATCTTACCTGCACTTCTAGACAGCCACGTCTTGTTTCTTTTTACCAAGTTACGCAATGAGGCAAGTTCTAGTAATTCTTTCCTCCCCATCTTTTTACCGTTTTCTTGCCCAAAAATTCAAAAGAAAACCCTAATCAACCTTTCAAATCTTTGACCATGTTTCGTGAGTCTTCAGAAAGGTACCTTCCTTTCTGGTGACTTTCTGGTGAATATATCTGTGTTCCAGATATATTCAACTTTCTTGTTCAGACTTTACTACAACGAATCATGGCTGAGAAAAGATATATTCAGGACTTGTTGCACAGAGGATTAGTTTAATATAAATAAAGATTTTACTTGGAGTAAAATATGTTTTTCCAAACCATCCTGTTAGGATTTAAAAGGAGAATGAGGTAGCATAAAAAATGGTAGCTCTTCAGTGTAAGAGGTTTGCAGATTATCTCTCTTTCATGGCCGTAACTCTGTGCTTTGCACCTGACTTTCTGTTGCAATGAATGAGCTAATAAAGACCTGAATTTCCCAATTTGGATAAAGCCAAACCTATAAATAATGAAATATACATACTGGTATAACATTCAACTAGCATTCTCAATCAAACAAATGACATTTCTTAGAAAACTGACAACCTACTAAGAAAAAAACCATCTTGTGAGACAGAATGGGAGTGCTGGATGAATTCATAACCCCAGTGTATTGAGGTACATAAACATAAATTGGAAGCCCATTCCAAACTCTTCTTTCTTTTATTTTTTAATCACAGTGCGAAATTTTATTCTTCTTAGCCTTTCTTTCAGTCTTACAATTTGGCTTAATAAATAGCACTCTCAACAACAGTGCTTTTATTACTGTACTCTATGGCCGTAGAAAAGCTTATCATAGTCCTACACTACTTCAGTTATCTTACTGATAAGCACTTTGTGTGATTGCTTGTGCTGTGAGATCTCACCCTACTAATACCTGTGATTATAAACCTTGCACACAACATGTTCCACCTAAAAGTAAATTAGGGGGTTTAAAAAAAAATATGATTTGTTTGTTCTATATGCAGCTCGTTTGTGCTATTTGCAGCTTTTTGTTCTCTTTTTAAACTGAATAAAAAATGCTCACACTGCAAGAGACTAGTTTGGAGTACAGTGCCAATACTTGATGTAACATTAATCTGAAATAAGTTTTGGAGAGTTTGCACCATATTATTTTCATTATGAGAGAAAAAGATACATCACCATAAAGCCCCTTTATGTTTGCCTGCACTATTTATAAACATGGTGCATGGTGTTTAATGTCATGGTAGCTAAAACTGCATTTAGGCATTCCTTGTATTTCAGGAACAGAACTTGCTGCTTTACTTGGGGACACTTTTCCTTTTTATTTGTTCCTCTTGGCCTTTTAAAATTTATTTGTTTTGCCTCCTGTGTTACTACAGTTGTGCAGCTTTCTTGAATCTGGTGTTAGTAACCAGGACCTTTCCCATTCCAATGCTGAGTCAGTGCAAGAAGAGGTAGTTGTACATTCCTTCCTCTGCCCTCTGCTGGTTTAGGATCCTTCTCTCATTCTTCATACCTGTAACAAATTATTTCATATACTACCTCATATATCTGATATAGCTTGTCACCATCTTAAAAGAAAACAGCTCAGTCCTGCTTTGGATTAAAAAAAAATAATATAATTGTTTAAAAAAATAACAGTGGTGTTTTGATCACAATTGAATAAATAAGTTGCAACTACCTTGTCATAGACAATGCTTTCAAAGATTACATTTCAACAGAAAGCATGTTATAACTCAGCTGCACTTTGCATTGTGTTCTGTATTATAAGTGAGTTATTTTTCTCTTTGTTTCCAGCTTGTGAAATTGGCAGAACTATTTTCACAGCTACTTTGTTAAAAAAGTTGGCAAAGATAACATTAAAAACAACAAAACACAGCACTGTATCTGATAGTGTGGACTAATGGATATGTGCACATTACATACATAGTGAAAAGTAGTTTCAAAGTACTGATTCTTCTACATACGTTTTCCATACATCTCTCATGGTTCAGTTTCCCCTCGCCCTCCCCATTTTTATCCTTATGAATTCCACAAAACATTTCAGTCTTAGCTGAATTAAAAATAAAACACTCTAAGGAGCAGTGCTCCCTCAGGTATATATGAATATGAGGCACTGCAAACGTTTGTTGGTATTAAATCTTAGAACATTTCCTCAATGCATCTGATTTTCTGGAGGAATTTTTCATTAAATTTGAGGGAAAACCACATTTGCAAATTAAAAAAAAAGATTAAGTTAAAGTGTGAATTGTTGTTAAGTCACAATAAGAGCTTCTTCTGTTAAACCCAGCTTTTTAAATAAGTAGGGTTTGTGTAGGCATTTTTATAGATTCAAAGTTGTAATGAGCATTTTTTTTTTTGAGGCCCTATTTTTTAAAAACTTGTTATATTTTAAATATTGTCAAATTTAAATGAGGTTTCATGAAAATTTAGCTAGCTTTATTCACTGTTTAATAAAAAAGAAGTTGGGAAGTTTCTTCTCTGTTCTTCTCATTATCTTATTTTTTGGAAGACTGGGTACTTAAATTTATTGGTTTCTGATGTTTAAAATTGAAATATTTTATTTAGCATGCTTTCCCTTTCTGAAAAACATTTTTAATATTTATATTTGGGATTACTAATGCTGTGGATGTGATGAATACCTGTGTAATGGTGACCATCTTGTCACTTGCCCTTATGTAACTTCAGTATTAGCCTTGTCATCTCCTCCTCTTTTCTTCATCCAGTACATGCAGCTCTCCTTTGAAAATGGCAACTTCTGTTCCTTTTGGAGTGTTTGATTCTTTGAATCTTGTTTTCATGAGTATTTGAAAGTGATTCTTAACACTGGAGTATTGCTTTCTTGCTCTTTGTAGTGATTCAGATGGAGTTTCTATGTCTGGTGTGTGTTTCACTTTTCTTCAAAGGATAGGTTGCTTAACCACTAGTATGTCTTAGCTGTTTAACTCTTGAAAGGCTCTAAATAATATAGAAAGTCATACTGTGTTTGTATCCTTATTCTTGTTCCTTTATTCATCTGGAGGAAGTACTTTTAAGAAACAACATATGTATTGTAATCCTTAAAAAGTATAATATAAAGCAGGAGGTTCCAAAACACAAACAAAACCCCCAAAAAGGTATTTTGAAGGCTAAGTTCATATGATATGAAAGTATGAAGAAACATTGCTGAAAGTAATGTTCATACTATTTACAGAATTGAATTTGTCTGCTGTTTGTGATTGTTTTATACAGAATGTAAGTGCTTCATAGCTTCCATGTTTTAATTTTTTTTTAGGAAGAACAGAATCGAGGCAAGCCCAACTGGGAACACCTGAATGAAGATTTACATGTACTTATCACTGTGGAGGATGCTCAAAACAGAGCAGAAATAAAGCTGAAGAGGGCTGTTGAAGAAGTAAAAAAGTTACTGATACCTGCAGTAAGTATTTGTATGCAAGCTTTTGATTTCCATTTTCAGAAGGTACTTTTGAAATACTTTTTGAAATACAACTGATTTGCTACAGGTGTAAGAGTAAGCCTGCAAAGTGGCATCCTAAAAGGAAGTTGAGATACTATTTTGTAATACTCTAGTGATATTTAAAATGCCTCATCCCAAATTGAATTATTCCTTAGAAGAGAATAGAGAGAGACTTTTTTTAGAGAGACTTTTTTTTTTGTCTGAGATAGAGATACAGGAAATAGTTATCACTTTTAAAAGGCAATGCTGGACTGATACAAACTCTACTTTACTCTCTTTCCTTCAGTGTTACTATTCTTCACTTTAAGGCTGGGGAAGTATGACATGTTTTTATGTTTCACTTTGAGATGATTCTGATACTTTGAGCAACAAAGGCATGTTTTTTTAGATCATCACATTAAACATTTTGCAAAGAGAGCAAAACCTTTTAGTATCAAAAAACTTTGCTGTCAGTATACTGGGGGAAAAATAAAAGTAGTAAAACAGGAAAATGGTTGTCTTTCTCATTTCCTGATAGTATAAACTGCGTTCTGAACACCTAGATGACTTAAATACTTTTTCAGAGACCGGAATTACCCTGTGAGAGCCCTTCTCTTATATCTTCTCTGTATTCTCACTCAAAGCAAGGTCACTCAAGTGTGGCTGTATAGCACATCCCATACCATTTACTTGTATCTTATGCTCATCTTTACCACCACTTTTATGCCCCTGTAAAATGATAAGAATAAATTAGATATTTTTCTGTGGTGGAAAAATGTTCCATATTACAAGGAAAATTGAAACTACCTTGTGAAAGAAAGTAGTAGGTGGTATTAAAATGACCTACTGATTTTGGGTACTTAGTGAATGCTAATAGATGCTGGCTGTGAGGAAACTTGTGATGACACATGCTGTCTCTATAAGCAGATTTATTCAGAAGACATTTTTATAAATTACTAAAGATAGGGAGAGAGACTTAATTTCTGAATTACCAAAAATGGTAGAATATTAAGCAGGAGGTACAAAAATAGTGATTTAGATCTCTTGACATTGCGCATTGTCACTTTCTGAAAGCAGCAGACAACTAGAGAAAGTAGGTCTTCAGAATTTACTTTACTTACTAAAGAGGCCTTGAGCACATTAGGCTTGAGTTTATAGCCAGGATTTTTATATGGGCAAAATTTGTAACCCTTATGTTCATTCTTTAGCTCCTACAGAGCTAAAGTTTAGAAACACAAACTTCTGTGTGAATTAATATTGTTGGGTTCATTCTTCTACCTCCCCTTATTGCTGACTAATACAACGGAAGGGTCCACTTCAGGATGATAGGTTACAAACCCCCAGTATGTCTGAAGTACTGATGTGTGTGTGTGTTTGTGTTACTCTTGTTTTGTTTAGCGGTGGGATGGGTGTGTTCTGAGCCTCAAAAAATGTGATTGTTAGTAGTTCTTTCATAGTGACAGCCAGCTCTTTGTCTTGAAAGCACTCTGCCTCACGTAGTAGCTTAATAAATTGGGGAAGGACTGTAATCCTGATGGAAAAAATAATTGGTTTTCCCCTTTAATGAAAAATAATAACACAGGCCTAAGTATTGTCCGAATAGAACATCTCTTGAAATATACTTTGTCAGTTCACTTAATTATCATCTTTATGTATTATGCATAGGCATAAGAGATTTGCGTGGTACATATTACTTGCGTAAGAGTTAAAGGTCTGTTGGCTCTAATTTCTCAAAATTATGCCTTACTGGAACAGGTATGTGTAGTACATACTAATGAATTAGTGTGGAGGTGAGCTTAGGTTTGTACTATCTATTGCATCTGTTCAATTAGTATAAAAAATGGAATTGTGGCTTCAGGCAGTTTGAAAGGTGAAAAATTCAGTTTAGTGTTAAAAGATAGGAATTGAAAACTTCTATGAGGGAAGTCATAAACCTTCAAGTAATCAGGGTAAACATAAAGAAAAAAGGGAAATCCTAGTGAATTGCAACAATAGGAGTGAAACTGGCTGTTGGAAGATTCCAAAGATACTCTAAAATATAAGAATGGAAAAAGTAAAATTCCCTTTCATATGGTAGTATACCTGCAACTATTAATGTTTTCAGATAAATGTCAAAGGATTGAAGTGGAAAAAAAAGTTATGTGTTTCTATTCTGTTGCTGTCTAGCTTGATTAAAATTTTAGACTATGTAGGAGAGAAGACTCATTCTCATCTTGCAATACAATGTGACAATGCTTTGTGTTTATGAGATAAATTTCAGAAACATGTTAGTGTTCTAGTATTCAGAGATTGAAATTAGTTGCTAATTTTTTGGAATGATCAGTTATTTTTTGTACTCAAGATGCTAAAAAGCCTAATTACATTTTCTATCAACAGTGCAGAAATAGGCACATCTCTTAAAGTAGATTTTTATTTGAATGTACTTGGGTGAACAGAGACTATTTCACTAAATACTAAAGTGTGTTTCTTACATTTATAAATCTGGATCATTACTGATTTTTTTCCCCTTGTGGATATGAATTAATATTTTTCCATTTCACTTTCTCTTACATTTTACCAAGATAGTGATATAGTCAAGTAGTTTATCTTTAGAAATGAGATGCACAACTTGAGGAAGATTGGCTGAAAAAGCCAATTTTTTCTCCTTGAGGAGAAAGGCCAACATTTTTTTTTTTTCATTATTACTCATTTGTGTTTAATTTACTTTTCTTCAGTACGAAGCAATTTTTTTAAACATTTTTGGCTGTACTTCAAGTTCCATAGGATTAATTTTTTTCCTCTTCCCATAATGCAGTGAGGTACTGGTCTTTATCTACACCTGCAATATCATACAGTATTACTTCTTTCACCTTTTTATTCAAAAAAGGGGAAATTAATAAAGCAGTCTGCAGATTTTTGGGATCACATCAAGTTGTACTGTCCTTATGCCTCCTTCTGAAGTGAATCCTCCAGATCATTGATTTCTCTTTATTGTGGGAGCTTTGAGAGTTGTTTATTATTTGCATGAGTTAAGTGAGGATGGGTGGTTCTCATGCAAAGGAAGGGCAAAAGATGCTGTGGATCAATTGTTCACTGCAGAACAGAAGAAAAAGTTCAGAACCTGGTTCGGAGGCATACATAATAAAGAAGTATAGCATACCAAACTAGAGCATCATTAAGGGTTTGAAGTTGTTCTTTGAGCTCCTCGGCTGTAGGGGTGGACTCCTCCGCCAGAAATGTTGGAACTCCAGCATTTTCTAAGAAATATTGAATAAATGTTTCTAGCTGAGTGAGTTTATCTAGATATTCCTTGCATTTTACAGATGACCAGGTCTTGTTTAATTGTTAATTCACATTTATACTAGCTGCTTTTTTAAGGGATGAGGCACATGTGACAGAATTCAAATTACAAACAGATACTTCTTACCTCTTTCTTTCAATTCAACCTGATTCATTTCTGAGGAACAGGTTGTATTTCTGCTTTCTACTTAGCTATTCTAAGTTGGTCTGGAATCAATGTTGTTCAGATTTTTTTATTGCTTTTCTTATGCCGGGGCACCTGTAGTTTTACTTGGTTGCTGCCTCCATCATCTTGGAAGAGAACTACAACACAGAATTATTCAGTGATGCTCCCTGTCAAACTTTGTATACCATTTGTCAGTACTGTGTAGAATTTTGCAGTTGTGATGGGTAGGAGATAATGTTTCAATAGAAGCTTGTTTCATTTTGCTCCTATTTTTGGATCTTTCCTGTAAAAGTGATTTGAGACTTTTCAGTCTTGAATATGTTTAAAATTAGCTGAATGGGAAAGTAAATGTGGTGTATACAACATGATTTTTACAAATTGGAACATTTTTTTATAGTGGTGCTTGGTATGTACTCATTCACTAACTGTCCTCCTTCTGTTTAGTCCCTGTTACCAGATATGTTATTTTGATGGCATTTCTGGTTTTAGTCACACCTATATACAGCACATTTTCTTTATATAACAGGAGAGAGTATTATGAAGGGGCAATAGTACTGGTAGAGTGGTTTATTTTTCAGTTGAATAAGCTAAAAGCATTTATTTCTAAAAGACTACTTTCAGCAAGCTTGATGAGGTGGGGCTTGTTTATTAATTAAATGGATTGCTAATACTTTCCTTATAGGTGTGGTTGTAAATTTTCCTTATGGTCTATTTTCATCTACTTAGGGTAAACGGAAGGATGTCTTAATTTTTACACCGGGAACTTTGTGTGCTGTGAATTCCATCACAAAATACAGAGAAAAAACTTAATTTAAGAATGTTTGACCATGCTTTAGCCTTAGTTGAAAAAAAGAACATAGTTAATATAGTAATGCTCTACATAATTTGTTGCTCTGTAATTAAGACTAGCAAAATCTTGATGTTTGAAAGATATTAGGAGAAGATTTCATTTTTTATTAGCCTTCTAAAAAGCCACAATAAATTCTGCATGCAAGTTTGACTTCCTTGAATAGCTCTTTCTAATTCATTCCTGCATGGTGTGTTGGTTTTACATTTTTGCTTTCACAAGTGAGAATACAATGCTGCCTTGCATTGTTTCCCTGTTGAAATGTTGGTCATGCAGTGCAATCCATTGTTTGCTGCTTATTCAGTTCAAGTAATGAAGTTAATAAGTGATACAGTACCAGCAAAAGGATATTGCTGTCCTTAAAAGCATTTTAGGAAACTCTTACGTTCTGCCTGTTTGTCAGTTCCGATACAAGTCTCTCAGGGTGAGTGAGCAGACAGGAAGCTCTGCACGAAGGACAGCAAAGCAGCCAAATGTCTTGGCAGTGACCACTAGATGACATGGTAAACTTTTTGATGTGGGGGAGAGGTGATAGTGCATTATTTTTAGTAGCGTGAAGCAGGCTTAATATTGCCATGGCTGGAAGATTTGAGCGCTGCTGCAGTCCTGCCATTCCTTCATGATTTGCTGTTCCTGCTTCCTGTTTCTCATCAGAAATCCCTGGTCTTCATCCGAGGGTGTGGTGAGTCCATTTGGTGGAGAGCTGAACCTCACTGAAGGACTTGCTACAGTCAGGCTTGGTTTAGCACTGACAGAATTGATGGCATGAGAACAGGCAGATACGGAAAAATAGTACTGCAGCAGATCACCCTGAAATAAATTTCTGTGAATATGTTCACCTGCAAATAGCATGAGAGCAAAATATCCTGCTACAGTGAATTTCTGATTATGGCAGTGAAAAACAATAGAAGATTGTAAGTGTTCCTCTTTGTGTGTTCCACTGTCCAGTATGTCTAGTCTGTCATGCAAGTCTGAGTTTTAAAAATAAGAACAAGAACTTCTTATACCAATTCACAATAGGAAGTGTTTACATATTGTACCTGATATGTCACTGCAGTGTTCAATTTTTATGTGTACATTGGTAATAATGAAATTATTTTGGGTCAGCTGCAAGTGAAAAGTAGCTCTATGCATCAATTTGTACAGCGGTGGAAACTGTAGACTAGTGGTTCATTACCACCAAAATAGTATCTGTTAAATGGAAATGGTTTTTGGAGACCATATTTACTACAACATCTTGATGATTTTCAGCTGAATTGAAGTAAATCTAGTTTAAATTTTGTTAAATTATTGTCATAGTACAAAGGAGAAAATTAGAATTGTTCGTCAGAACATTGTTCAGGGTGAGTATTGGAACAGGCTGCCCAGAGAGGTTTTGTAGTCTCCTTCTCTGGAGTTATTCAAAACCCACCTGGAACTTGTTCTGGGGTGAGGATTAGATTGTCTCTTTGAGGTCCCTTCCAAACACAAGTCATTCTGTTATTCAGGATGGGAATAATTTTGAAAAGAGATAGAAAAATGTGCTGTTTATATTATGATTATAAATTTGTTTTCAACTTTGCATTTTTAGAAAGCTGACAAATAATGAAATAGTAAGTATAAAATTATGATGATCTGTGTCCTCGTGTTTTTCAGTTGATTGTTTACAAATTTGGACATAAAGTCACGATCAACTATAACTATGTAAATATGTCTAGTTTTATTAGCTTATAATTTAGGTAGCAGTTTGTAGGGATTCTTTTTCCATCTAGGCGTTTCTTATACTAATGGGAGAAAGAAGGTTCTCCAGCAGTTATTTCTAAGCGACTTAATCCGGGTGTTTACTCTGAATCTTCTGGACATCTTTGATGGCTTCTAGAACCCAAGTAAATTAGTTAGTTGTGCCTACATACAGTTACTGTCAAATACCCTCTCTTTTCCTCTTCTTCTCCATCACTCTCTGCCTTTATTTAAGGTGTTACAAATGTATAACTTGAGATATGTTAGATGGAGTTTTTGGAAAAGATCCTAGGAAACGTAGAAAATAGTTTCTTCTCAAAGAGAAACAAAGACACTCTATTGCCTGCAATTCAGTAGGGACATGCCCTTCCAAGGAGGGATTATGCATGGATTCAGAGCTCTGATTATGATCTGCAGGGGTTTTGTCTGTCTTCCAGAAATGTGCCTAATCTACTAGGTTGTTTGGTAGGCATAGTTACGGAAGAAAAAATGGTATTGACCTATTCTGGTAATTTTTGGGGTACCTGTAATTTTTTAAATTTTCATCCCATTTTTATAATTTGCTTCCTTCAGTCTTGGCTGTTTTTCCAGTGCTTCTTCTAGTCATTTTTTCTTCTTTTTATTTATTCTTCCATACTTTTGTTCTTTTTCTGTGGATGATCCTGGGACAGAACATGTAAATTGCAATCTTTATATAAAATCTTATTAAAGCATTTCTCTACTTATTCAAAAAGCAGATGATCAAGCTACAATTCTCCTTGTCTGGCCATGTTACTGAAGATGATGACAAATCCTTCATTTCTAGTTACAGCTGAGTTTTGGTTGGTTGATTTTCTCTTTTGAAATCTCAATTTTATACCTAAGTGAAAGAAATGGTAATTGTAGAATTGTGATTCCTGGAGAGATAGTGTGTAAAGAGTAGGAATTTGTTACCTTTCACTTTTAACGCATTTTAACACTTATGATTAGCCAGACTGTATTAAGGTCAGATCACTTCATGTATGAGTCACTTTGGAGTGGTTTCTAGAAGGATCTTAGCAGTTGCAAAGATTTTTGTGTGAAACAATAGTAAAGTAATGAGTAAATATTTTTCTTTTCCAGCCATTTAAAGCATTCTTTATTGCCAGCATTAGTTTTGAAATCTAGATTTCTAATTATACAAAAGTTAAGTTTGTCATAGAGATATCTGTGGTTTAATGCTGACTGATGACTTACAGTCATCTAGTTGCTCTACATGGTTCTATTTTGACATCAGACAGAAAGTTCTAACCTGTGGAAAAGTGCCAAGAGTTTTTGGCCTACTATTCAATAGAAAACTTAAGTGTTTCTATTTTTAAACAGTTCAGAAATACCTGAGCTTTCAGTGGGAGGAGTAATATTGTTTCTTTTTCTTTCATAGATTGTAGGCTAAGACTTTAATACAGGAATGTTATAGATACTGTTGGCAGGATAAACATAGGTGGGCATGATATAAGAGATTGGATCTAATTATGTTAAATAGCTTATATGATTTTGGACTAGACCATTTGTAACATACTATAAAATTGGAGAGTGGTAAACCATCCTGTAAAGTGATTAGATTAGATCTTACTGGAAAGTTGCATTGCTTGGAAAATAGTTAATAAGAAAAAGTATTTAAGATTCCATCAAGTAGTATATTATATTTCTTGTGTGTTATTGGAAATGCTATGGGTTTTATACATTTTTTATCTTATATCTTCTATATTTAAATAAGTATTTTAAAAGCTCTACCTTATTTTCAAACTACTTTCTTAATAGGGATAGCTTAATGAAAACAGCACTGCTTTCTATATTTTCAGCATTACCATTATTAGCTAATTTTTAATGTTTTCACAACATCTCTATATGTAATAAGTTATGTTCATCAGTTTGAACTTTTGCTGTAAAGTCAAATGTGTTTTATATTCCAAATCATTTGGAAGTACGTACTGGATAGAAGGAAGCTTCAACACCAGCAAATCTAGCAAAGTCAGAGGTCTCTAGTATTGTATGCAGTTCTTTGATACTGCACCTTTTTATAAATGGATTGGAAGATGTTAGGTTTTCTATTTGACCAAACACAGCTGTAGATACTAAGAATTTCAGCTGCTTTATTTATAAATAAATAATTCTAGCCTTTGATAGATATACAGCCTCCAAAATTGTACATTACCTTACAAATCCTTTTTCAAGAGACTGAAAAAATCAAAGCCCCAAAGCCACCATTTGGAGTTGGCTGTCTTATGATAATTTGAAGCAATTTTCATGAAGAGTAATTTTCAGTCATGTAATTGCATGTGTTGCTGTGCCCTCATCTTAAAATGTTTGAGTCCTGCATTCTCTAGCTTGTGTTCTAGTTTGAAAATGGAATTTTAACTTAGACTACCCTGACTTTCTTGGCAGCTATAGTAACTATACTGATACAGTTGTACTAAAGCAGGCAAATGACACATCAGGAAATGGAACTAGAAGGTGGAGTGAGGATTTGTCAAATGTGCAAATGGGTACTTGGGTGCCTTGGTAATGGAAGTGGGCAGTTCCAGTTCCTTGCTCAGCCTTTTGACTGTGGCCTTGTCTGCAATTCTGATGTTTCAGTTTTTAATAAGCAGATATGTAGCTTCTAGGGTCCTAAAGGAAAAATTGAAAGTTTTAAAATAAAGCTTGCTTACTTAGTTTGTTAGAATTAACAGTCATAATCATTACTGTCAACAAACATCAGATGTTTTGAATAATAAAATCGTCACATATTGTGCAGAAAGGCAGTATGTTGGAGTCTAATAACTTGTTTTAACTTGGAAGATAAGTTCTGAAAGACCAAGGGAGCTAGGAGGTGTGTCTGGATTTCTCCTGGTTTAAATCCACTGTAGTATGTATGGTAATACTGTGCTAATCTGATTTGTCAGTTAATGGTATCCTGGCATTCGGAACAGATAGACTATTGATACAGTGTTGGGAAGAACACTTTTTTCTCAGTGCCTACAAGAGGAAAGCCTGTATTTGCCTTTCACTAGTTATTTCTGAAATTACTGGTTAATTTCCAAAGAAAGTGGTTGGGCTGTGGAGGGAGACTCCCTTCCTGTCCTGTTGGATGATGGAGAACTCTTCAAAGAGTTACTTTATTATTCATCAGCAAGGAGAGCTTCAGGAAATCTCTTAATAATCCAAAAGTCAATCAGATTCAAGAAAGTTAAACATTAAAAAGTCAGGCTTTTAAAATACATCAGGTCATAGAAACACTTGTTTTCTCCGATGATAGCAAGGGTACTTTAAATAATAAACCTTAACTTTTTCATCTGTAAAATGTAGTGAGAGTACCCTTCTGGTTTTTTAAATACTCCAGGAGGTAAATCTTTACTTAACAATAAATATGGGAGAGGTCATTACTGGAATGCTCTTTATTTTGTAGCAATCTGTAGTTTTAGAGGGGGCTCTTGGAGATAGAAAATGATCAAAGTTTTTATTATCCTGCAGGATTAGAGATTGCAGAGGAGACTCTGAAGGTTCTTGGTGTTCAAAAAATGTTATGCTAATAGGTGGTTTCATTGATTTCAGTTTAGAATCAATTCAAAATAATTTTTTGTGTGTGTTGCATAAACCCAAATTCTGTGTATTGCCAAAATATTTTTGTGGAGGAACTTCTTTAACGTTATATACATGTAACTTCGGCTGTGTTGCCTTTGTGTTACAGGTAAACTAGGCATTACATTATATGTCTTGCCTTTCTTACAAAGTAAACAGGAAGATTAGCAGTTGTGCAGAATCAAATAGGAGTCCTGCTCAACTGGACAGCCTTAAAGGAACTCCACCAATATCAAATGAGAAAATGTGATTCCTTGTTTCCATGTAAATCATTCTGCAGGGCTTGGAAAACAAAGTGAAGCATGTAAGACACTAAAGCTGACAAATAACACAATTTATTCTTATTATGTCATGCTTTATATTTGATATATTTTACAGCATTTAAAAGCAATCTGTTTGTAGAATTTCAACATACAGATGTTAGTAGTTTTTAATAATACTTTTTTTCCACTACTGTCTTTAGGATTTTTTTAAAAGATCCTATGTGGCTTCAGTAACAAGATCCCATTAAGATTTGTAGTACTTTGTACAGCTGAAGTTTATAGACTCTTCTAAAAATCTTACTCTAGGTTACTTCTAAAAACATGAAAGATGCACAATTGTGTGCATCCATCGTTAATATTTGAAATCTGCAAATTGATTTTTACTACAAGTTTGAAATTGGCTTTGAAGCTTTAGAAATCTTTGCTAAGACAATATCTATGATGATGTAGCTGAGACATAATCCCCTACATGCTTTAGTGCTGGTTTTATTTATTTCAGTTTAGTCAATTTTCTTCAAATGTGAATCACACATAGGCTTTCAGCCGAATATTAAGGTTCAGGGGAATTTAGGAAGCTAGATATATGATTCCACATCATTTAATATAAAGCACCTGTAATTTAAGGCATGACTTCTCTTTCTAGATTCAGCAAACTGTCTGAAGTGTGTCTAGTAGAATCATGACGGGAAAAAGAAAATTACTTCTTTTGGTATTTTTATATCTCAAATACTTTGGGTTTTTTTTCTTTTTTAAACAAGCTTTGCTTTTTTTTTTTTTTCATTTCATTCACAGAAATGTCAAACGAGTCCTGTTTAATTAAAATAATTGATTATCAGGGAACCTTAATTAGCATAAGAACAGTAAACTTGTGATGTTTTGGCTTCTCCAAATAGCTTGTATTTCTAGGCAAGCTTATGTAAAGAGTAGAAAAATTAAGTTTTTTCTTCAGAATATTAGCCTGTTACTTATGATTAATAAAAATAATTCCAGAAAAAAATAGTTTGATAGTTGTATTTATAGAAATTAAATGTGTCCATATTGCTCTAAAAGATTAGCATTAATAGCAAATGTTACCAATCCAGACAAGTAAATATTACTGTTACCAACCCAAACAAATAAATTTTACAGTTAAAAGCATAGAAGTAAGGGTTTAGTGTGGATTCTGGGAGGATTTTTTTTTTTCCCCAAATTATCTTATATGTGCTTCTCTATACAGTTACCTTCTCACTTTACTGTTGTGGCATCCTTTAGATTTTGGACTAATTAGACCAGTTGTGTTTCTGGTGATTAAAGTTTCTTTTTCTCAAAAGCATGTGCATGTGTTGGATTTATGGCAGTTTTCACACTATCTGTCCCGTCTGCCACATAACCCAAATTTCTGAGAGACCAAAAAAGTCACCATCTAGAAAGTGGGGTTTGAGAGTTTTTCCACATAGTTTCTTGGAAAAGGGAGGTTGGTGCATGTCTGTGCCTCTATTTGTGTCAGTATTCATTGATTCAGAAGTATAAATAGATCTGATGATGATTTAAGTCTCAGTTCTGCTTCCTCTGAGAAGTACTTAGTGCAGTGCAAAGCTCTTCTTTTCTCTTGATACCTGAAGTGCAGCATCTTAGGGGTGCATGGTTCTCATGTCCTTTTCATTTTGTAGATGCAAATTCTGCAAAAGGGAGAAAAATGTATTAAACCCAGAGTATCATCCTGCTTGGAGAGACTCTTGAAATCCTGAAGGATCTGATACAAGTGAAATTGCTTCTCATCTCAGTAGTGATGACCTTACTCCAGAACAGTTCTTTGTTTCATTAATTTGTCCACACTTGCTTTCAGAAGTATAGGAAACTACTTCCAAAACTGCTTCTGTAAACTCCCCAACTTTCCACAATATTTTGTCTGTGTTGCCTTGTTTAAAATACATTCCTTTCAGCAAAGCATAGCAACTGGTATTTCTGAATCCTTGCTGAGTCTTGCAGCCTTCTCTGTAAGATGTTTAGGGAGAAGAATTCATAAAATTGTGTGTGAACCAGTCTGTCACTTAGGTGTCTGTAGTTAACATCCAGAGCTCACACTCAACAGTTTTATGTATTGATTTGCACAAAAACTTCTGCTGTGTTATTTGCTGGCTATCTTTAGATAAACTAGTTGTATTTTTTTATTCTTGAGACACCCCTTCCTCTCCCCAGTAAGACTGTGACAGTATGTTGTCTCTTAGACAGCTGAAATAGGAGCTTCCAAAAGGCTTAAAACTGGGGGTACAGTTGAACCTTTTTACTGAATTATTTCATAATCAAAACCAAAGCAAAACCAACTTTTTGTTGTTCTCTGGTGGCTTATGGGGTAGACAAAAAAGCAAAGGAAGAAACTTATTGCAATCCAAAATATGAAGCTATATAGAGATTTCAGATGCTGCCCAGATGGGCTAATGAACTGTTTTCAAATGGCAAAGCAAGATAAAGAAGCATGGGGGTAGTCTGTGTTTCTACCATCACAGAAAGGCAAAGGAGATTCTTTCTATTTGTAAACTGCCAAATGCAAGCGGATAGTACAGTCTTAAACCTGAAAAAAATTACCACAAACCTCAAAATTAAAATTATTATTTTATCCTTTTTAAAGGATTAGTAATAACACCAAGCAATAATTCTTATTTAAGCGGAGATGACAGATATTTCTGTCATTGAAATTTGATATTGACCTGTTCTTGTGGTAGGATAGGAGTAGCACTCATTTCTCTGTAGAATTTGTGTGGAGTATTTGGGACCGTACTGCTTTTAATATGCATAGATGGTGTCTACAGGCATATGAAGACCTTATCTAGTACACCAGTAGGCACTTAATTAAAAAATTAATTGGCAAGTATGATATATGGGCAGGCATAATTAATGCATCAGTATGTATTTTGAGATGTAAGAAGCATTTGACATAAAACCATTGTTATATTGTTTGTATCTGTTGTTTGGTACTAGTCCTGACTTCACCAGCATCCATCCTTATAAACCACTGAATGAATTGCATGTAGAGGTCAGATGAAGCAATATATGAGGGGTTTTTTTGGATTGTTTTGTTTGGGTTTGGGGTTTTTTTGGAGGGGTTTTTGTGGGTTTTTTTGGTTTTTTGTGGTGGTGGTATTGGTTGTATAGTTTTTGTTTTGTTGTGGGGTTTTTTTTTTTTTTTTGTTTTTTTGGTTTTTTTTGGGTTTTTTTTTTTTTTGTATTGGTAGAAGTTGTAGACTGCTTCACTAATTGGGCCAGATGGATCTAACTGCTTTGTTAAATGAGTCAGCCTACTTTTTAATGATTATTTTTAACAGTATTGCTGCATTAGAAATGTTTAGTGATGAAATTGTCTTTGGGTTTCTTGTTTGCCATTGCATATAGGATTTTAGAACTAAATCTGTTCTCAAAACAAATATGCAGTTGGTTTAGAATATCTCAGTAATTTTTTAAGTGAAAGCTTAACTTTTCAAATGTTACAGGTCAAACTAATGCAGAATTTAAAGTCATACTTTGAAAAAACAAGTATGAGATGTTAGCTATTCACTTCAGATTAAAAGAGAAATCAGACGATATGTTTTGAAATTAAATGCATTACTTGATCTCTTAACATTTTAAAAGTTGACCTCCCTTTTGATTAACTTTCTAAGAATGTATCTTACTTTTGCATATTTAAATTTTAGCTAGTTTTGGTAAGTGTTCACGTGGAGAAAGGAAGAAAAGTTGTTGTAATGCTTACTATGGGTGTTCCTGCTCCAAAAGAAATGGTGGTATGACCAAAACAGACTAAAATTAATTTTCTGGAGCACAGACCACCATCTTCATTTGCTGTAGAATGAGTTAAACTGGGGTTTAGGTTTTTCCAAAACACTGCTAGTCCAGAAAGGAAAATGCTTATTCTCTTCAGCATTGAGCTGCTGTTTTCATTTCAATGAAAAAGGGAACAGCTAGGGCAAAAGAGCGAGGGTGCAGTCGTAAGTTTCCTTCACTTTTCTCGATTAAAAATGACAGGGGAGGTGAAAAGCTTTGCTACGAAATCCGCACGTCCCCTTCTCAAAATAAATGACGCTGTAAAAGGGCCTGGCTGGCTTTTTAAAAACCGGGACATTCTCAGGACAGGCAGGCAGAGGGCTCTTGCACATGGAGTATAATGACATAGGAGCATTCTATGTAGTTCCTTGAGCTGTAGTTTAGGCTATTACATGCGGTATATAATAGCAATAACAAGATTAATTAATTTCATTTGAGAGGTGACTAAGTACCTTCAGTAGTCGACACGGTGAAGTTAGTGGTTGTCTCCTTCGCTGCCATTACGCTGGATTTTTGCCTTCCTCGGTGTTTGTTCTGCAGGGCTTATTGGACAGGAGATGCTTTGTCGTGGAGCCTGTCTTGTAAAAAGCCGTGGTGCGAGAGCGCATCCCTTCCCGTGCACAAAGGTGCTGCTGCTGCTCGCTGCCGAGCGCAGCCCTTCCAGTCTGACGGGGGATCTGTCTGGGGACCGCGCACAGTAATTAGCAGTCTCTTCAGAGTGTCAGAGCAGAATTACCATTGTAATGCTTTAGCAGGAGGATAAAAGGATTGAATTCGGGTCTGCCTTCCTGCCAAAATAAATGAGTTGCCATGGGAATTTTCAAATATAAGAGGCGTTTACTTAAAGCAATTTGGTGAGTTTGAATAAACTCATAAATTACGGGGTTTAGAGGAGAGATCCCTGCTTTCTCTGGCTTGGGCTGAACAGCAAAGAAGGCTGTTGGAAAGCTGCTTACATTCTTAATGAGAATAAGTTGATCCATGCTCCCTTGCAGACTATCAGCTTATTGAGGCTAAACTGTTTCTGCTAAACACAGTACAGTAAGCACATTTTGAGAGACATAGTTTGCAACAAATCCCCGGAGTAAAAAGCAACATCTGATCGCTCCAAACATAAATTGAATTTCCTTTGCTAGATTAGATCTATTTTCAAGTAATGCTATTAAAAATTGTTCTCTGTATTGTTTCAATAAGCATTAACCTACTATTGATTTCAACTTTCCTCTGTGCATGTAATATTTATTACAACACTTGTCAGATCTGCTTCTGAAAGGGGAGGGAGGTCATCGAGGTTTCTTTCGAAAACAAATAAGGTCCTATGGCCCTTCAAACTGTTTTTTTATCTCGGGTCACATGTAAATGTTTTCCCAGCTCAAGCCTGCCTGCCTTCTCTCTAAAGGGAGTTGGGCTTTGACCCGCTGACTTCTTTGTCAGCACCGATGCTATTGAAATGTGAGAAGATGGACTTGGTGCTTTCACAAGTGCCTCGAGTGATGAACATCACTTATGCTTGTTTAACCTTCAGCTGTGCTCCACAAGTCAGCTGTAGTAGGCTGGGGAAGAGCTGACGGCCGGCTTGTTCAAAGCATGTGTTAATGTTCTCCCGGCCACTTAGATCGGGGGACTTGAAGAAACACGAACATTAAGACGCGCTTGAATACTTTGGTGCTAGCTTTAAACGTGTATAGTCAAGGACATGTCATACTTGAAACAGTATGCAGTGTTTTTCCCAAAATAATTGATATCGGGTATATAGCTTAAGGCTTAAATGTTGCCTTGTGATCCTTTCTAGTACATATCTCAAATCTTTACCCATCATAAGTATTGGGATATGGAAGTGGAACTAATTAAAAAGAGAGCAGTACTGCCGTAATGGCAGTAATTTTAACTTTCGTTTCAAGCCATAAAAATACGTTTTGAACTCCTTGATATAATCTTACATCACTAGCAGGAAGCCTGTAAATTAGCAAAGGAAAAGAGTAAATTTGTGCTGGTGATTCAGTGGTTGAACAGCTGCTAAGTTCTAACGAATTCCTGAACTGTTACTAATGATGCAGCTGAAACTGTTTGGTAGCCTCGGGGTACTGTTTCTATGAAACTTTAGAAATATCTCCGAAGAAATTAGAAGACAAAAAGAGCAGCATTTATTCTTACTAATACTCAAAATTTTAACTGTTCATTCGAAGTTACTTTGAGAAATACTGTCAGGAAATTGATTCCATCAGACTTGATTCCCATCCCCATACTTTCTTACTTCTTAGTAAGTTACTGAAAGGCAAAATTTTATAATAAAATATTTATAAATATTTACAGTAAAAATATTTTCTAAGTGTTTGTGAAGTGGCTTGAAAAACTGAAACTATGAAAACTTCTACACTCTGTATTATAAGAGGGTTGCTAAATGACTAGAGGACATCATCAGCATTAAAAAATATGTATATAGAAATGGCAATGCTACAGAGGACTCTTTGGGGTACTGGGCTGAACTGAGTGCATCACTTAGGTCCTCAGTTCCAATACCTTACAGCACCTGTGCAAATCGATGCTATTTACAGAAATCAGGTAGTTAAAAAAAGCAGAAAAAAAATATATATATATATATATATTGGTATTACAGTTTTCAGATTTCACACTCTGGATTTTTTCCTGCATTTTAGAATTTTAATTCCACAGGCTGTGGGGCTTGATTGGGACCTATATTATATCACATTTTGTGTGTTTTTCCTCTTCTCTCTGCTTGACTTGCAAAACTGAGATGAAAATAAGTGGCAATGGGAGTGCAGGAAAAACTTAAGTGGGATTTCTTGACTAGGTCAGATGTTGAGATAGGGATAATTAAAAATTACAGATAACTTAATCTAAGCTACACAGTATAAATTTAGTTTTGCAATACCTGTGAAAGAGATGGGAATTGCTGCCTGGTAGTTCACCTAACTTTTTCATAATGAAGGATTTTCATAACCTAAAACCTCCTGATCAGTCACACCAGAAACATCCTCCTCAAGAGCTCATGAAGCATACATCAGGCAAGTTACCTGATAGAAGATGGATGTTTCGTTTGAAGGATATTCTGTCTTTTACCTCGTGAGCAGTGTAGGAGAAAACTTATGATTTTACCATCTTAAAAGTATGGCATACAGAAAAAAAGTCTGGTTTTCAGTAAAACTGAGATGGGCCTGCTTAGACTGAATCTGATTTCAGCTAAAGTAGGTTCTCGTGACTTGTGATAAGCCTGTTGTTTCATAATGAAAGCAAAAGTCCCCTTTCTGCTTCAATCCAGAATGAAGCTGCAGGCTAATTAATTTGTGGATGGATATAATAAAAAAACACCTACCAGATTTTTCTGTGAGCTGACTTTGTTTTCTAAGTGCAAGTAAGTGACAAATTTTCTGGGGTTTTTGGAGAGGTATATCACCTTGTTGAATGTCTCACCCAGCACCAGAGAACACAGAGGAAGTGTCAGGGATATGCACAAAGAAAAGGTGAGAATACTGTAATGGGGAAGAAGTGGGAAGCTATGCGAAGTACTTGTTCTCTGTGTTTAATTTGTTATATTTTGAGGGTTCTTGGCTCCTGCTGGTCTAGGAATCCAGAGAATCAAAAAAATGTGCATGCTGCTAGACCAGTAGGGATAGCAGCTGTTTCTTCCCTGGGCACTCCCTCTTTTCTTATAACCTCTCTTGCAAGTATTTTATCCAATCTCTATTTAATTCTGCTTCTGCTGGGGCATTGTTACTTTTGCCTTTGATCTTCAGATTCCAACAGTTTGGTTCCTTCTGCAGTTTTTTCACTTACTAACTTGTAAACTTTTGACAGCAGGTTCTTTGCATGTATATTGTAGGTATCTGAACTCTAGGTCAGAGGTGTTTAATATACTGTTATGCTAAAATTAACATTGCATGCAGAGACATGAAAACAAAATGCATAATCTAAGTTGTACAATTCTTGGCTAGAGAAAATCCGCAGGTCTCAAGGTAGTTCTGTAGAAGAATGTAATACACAAAAAGGAAAAAAATATCAATAAGGAAATGGATTTTTGTAGAGTCCTCACACTGTCAAACTAAGCGTTATTTTCAGTTTTTTTTTAACATGAAGCTTTGTAAGTACTGGATGCACTATTTAACTGCTATGGATTTAAAGTTCCTAGTATAAGGTATAAGAATTATCAGTTTAAGATGATGATGTTTTTAGAGTCTTGAAATTAGTTCTTTTTGGTGCTTTTACAAGATGGCCTGCAAATACCAAAAAAGTTCAAAGATCTCTGCAAAATATGAATGTGTGTACTTAGAGTAGTAGGTAAATGATTGAGATTGTAATCATTGCTCTGGGTGAGCAAATCCACAAATTGAGGAGTAGACTTCTCATAGGTTTAAGGTAATCTAGAGGAGTCTGATCAGTACAGTTGGCCAAGAAAAGCTGTAATAGTATTTCTCCACTGAAAGTTGGCATCAAGAGAGAAGAAAGACAGAGAGGAGAATGATTATAAGTGAAGAAATGGGAAAAAACTATAAAAAAATAATTGTAGGAGAATGAGGAATAAGTAAAATGAAATGGAATATTTTAATATGAAAAAAAATTATCTTAGTGGTCAGGTGGTGGTTTCCAGTTAGAAAAGAATATTATTAAACTGCTGGGCTTCAGAATTAGCAAGACTAAGACTTCCAGTTCCATGTGGAACCGAGTCAGTTGGCACACTGAGATATCAACTCCCATCAGTCTCTCCTCCCTTACTAGTAAGTCTGTAGTGAGGTCCTTCAGTTTTGTAACCTGGCAGAAAAATACACAGCTTAAAAAAAGGAGTGTTACCCAATGAGCAGGTTGGCATGGTTCAGTCCTGGATCCAGTGATGGATACAGGAGAGCAGCAGTAAGGAAAGAATAGGACTGTGACCACCACTACCTAAATTGCCTTAAAGTACCAGAGGGGTGCCAGTTGAGAGGCTTTTTACATCTTGAAAAATAATTTTTGACTCGTTTGACAGCAATGTAGAACCTCAGCCTAACCATCCTGAACTAAGTTGTAGCCTGGGAAAAAGTCTTAAGGATGGCATTTTAATTTTTTACATTCTGGAATCGACTGCTGTATTTGCTAGGTAAACTTGTCTGAACTTGTTTCCTCTGAAATTATTCTCTCCAAGTTTTCTGTGTGATTGATTTCCATTCCATCCTGTTTTTCAAAGTCTTAGCTTTCTGAACTCAGTCATGCACAGATGCACAGCAACTTACTTTTAGACATTCTGGAAACAAAATACCAATAATTTTTCCATTCATTTGACTCGCTTCAGAATTATACGCCTTGCTTTTCACACCTTTTGTACCTTTGTTGTCCTTAGTTCCCTTGGCTTAAGGAAAAGAATTTAATTTGTCTCTTCTCATTAATGTTGAGTGAATGAATATTCTTCAGTTACTCTGAGTGTCCAGAAATATTCATTATTTTTAGGTTTACTTCTTAATTTTTCAGCCACATCATGTAACTGAAAGCTTAAAATACACTTTTTCTGGTTTTGGTTATGGATTTTTTTTTCCTATGTATTAGTTTTTACACACATTAAGGGAGGTTTTTACTGCAAAGTATAAGAATATAGTCCATAAAATTAGAGACTGTGTGAATTTAGGTATTATTTTGAAATATTAATGAGATTCTGAGGCTCAGGAGATTAAGAGGCACTAAGGTGATTTGTCTTGTAGTAGAAAATGTATTTTAAGCTGCTTTTGCTTATGGTTGTGCACCTTGTC